TTTTGGACTAATGTCTTGAGAGTTTGTATTTTTTTACTTCAGCATATGAGTTATTTTGTGGTATTGAAAATAGTGGCAAGAATTCTGAAATGCAATGGTATTTTTTTACATTTTGTAAATTGATATCATAAAAAGCATAAGCTTATAGTTACAATGAAATAAAATAACTTGAATTGATATTGTGATATAAGATTTGGGTAATATTGGGTCCACCCAAAATTTGGGTCCACTCCTAGACCTAATAACAAATGTCAATCAGTCAGGGCCAAAATTACATTGTAATTAATACTCATGACAGAGTTAATGAACTGAGCCAATGGCCATGAGAAAGTAGTGCATCGTAAGTGTTTCAGTGGCAGCGAGGCATTACAAACTGTGTCATGAGGCTGAGAAGATTTATAATCTCCACTCTTCATCACAGATCGCTTGTATGGCCCTGTAATAACTCCACAAGTTATACTGGATAAGAACCTTACCAAAATGAGAACCAAAAAAACAGTGCTTGTGAAATGTACAGACGGTCAAGGGGTTCTTTGAGGGTGCCAAAACATTGCCTTATTTTGACTGAAGCTCCATGACATCTAGATGTGTATTTGACGCTGTTCTGTGATGAATCAGTAACATTCAAGCTCAAAGGGTACCCACCCAACTCTGACTCAAGTCGGACCAAACCCTCCCTGGTACATTTATTGGGGCAAAGCATAAACAAGTGTCCATTTCATGTTGCTAGGCAGAGCATGGCCTGCTGTCAGTTGAGCAAGTAAAGTCAGTCTGTTGCTTTGCAGCCTCAATGCTCAACAGACCATGACAAACCACATTCAAACTAAACCTGATCACATGTTAAACACTATCAGTCATTCGATATGTGCTAACAGCTCAGCTCCTCGCCAATTAAAAAGACAACTTCCATTGTATGAAAAAAAAAAAAAAAACACTGATGCATTTCTTAAAATGTCTTCTTCAGAAGAAAAAGTCATAGCCTACAGGTTTGAAACAGTGCGATTTGAAAGGGTGAGTAAATGATGATAGAATTAATTTTTTTTGAGTGAGCTACCCCTTTAAGTGGACTGCAGCAGGTAAGCATTTGATCTGGCATAATTAAAACTAATAAAAGTTTACCAACAGTCAAGCTTTTAGGTTTCAATTGTCAATGTAGATTCCAAACATTCAGCCACTGGTCTAAAAACAAAAGCAACGCATTCTGACATCATCCCGTTCACTTTGAGCACCCTGGGAAAGTGCCCTTGTGACGAGGGTGAATTCTAGCTGAGTGGTCTAATCGTGTGTGTGAGGGTGTCTGGGACAGTCATTCCTCTAGCATGTGACACTATAGAAAAGATACTGCATTTGACTATCCTATTACTTATGATTATGAACGGGACAAAGTGCAACACGCAGTTTGGTGGAATACATCCCACCTTCTAAATAAAAGAGCAAATCGCTGATTCATAAAGTCATTGCGTCATAGCAGTTGCTCTTAAAAGCTCCAGTTCCCACAGTAACCAGAGACTCCTGCTTAGGACTGCACATGTGCATTGGTTGGTCTGGCGTGAAAAATAAGCTTTGTAAAGCTATTTGAGCGTCAGAAGCAACATTTATGGGCCAGTTCATAATATCAGATTTTGTTGCGGATTTAAAATGTTATTTAATCGTGATTTCAGCAATCAGTTTTTGAGATCTCAGGATAACCCCATTCAAAAAGATAAAACTGGTAGCCCAAAATAGATGCCAGGCCGCCAAGTGAACAGACTTTCTTTGAAAGGGACTTTGACGATACTCTCACAACTCCAAATCCTGCTGCTAGTGACAGATTCAGTAAAAGACTGAAATCCTCTCAGGGAAACCCCATGTGCTGCCACTAAAGGATGGTTTTCGATTACATTTAGCCCCCTTCAACCAACTTGCAATGCCTCCCATGGTAACGGGTTAAACTAATGACAGAGATAGATAAATATGTCTGAACTCAACTGCACATAACAAAGCTAAAAATAGGAAACACATCACCCAGAAGGAACTTAGCTTAAGTTTTTGTAATGGAAAAAACAACAACAGCAAGCTACTATTATAAAAAACTGCATGTAGTGATAAACCTCTGAGAATCCTTATGAGGAAATGATCTAATTTCCAATTCTTTAAAGTTTCGACAACAAGACTATTCAAAGACATGAAGTCAGACCACCATCTGTTTAGCAACACCTACTGAATACAAATCAGCATCTTTGTTTAAAAGAAAAATTTGCATTGATTCTGAGACCAGTGCGCATATGCATATATATATATATATATAAAATCAATGCAAATTATGTTTTTTTTTTGTTTGTTTTTTAACAAAGACGCTATATGTATTCATAACATTCAGAAGACCCAACATAAAAGTTCAGCAGCAGCACAACTCAGAGTGGAAAGGATTTCCCCTCTCCTCTCACTGCAGCATAGCTGTCAGGCAGATGAAGGGATCGCAGCTCACTCTGATTGGCCAGAAGCACTGTGACATCACAGAGACGGGATCATGTGTCAGCTGGGAGGGGGAGCATTTGTTTTGGGTAGAGCAGGGAAGGAACTTACTCAACACAGAGAATATAAACACAGAAAAATCTCTCCACTCACAGATTCAAACCATCTGTCTCTCTTCTCACACCTCCGGACAGAACAGCGGATAGGATTATAGTGGAAAATTAGCCTCCAACTAAGACATACACAAACTATTTCTATGATGTAGGTTAGAAATATTCTGTGCTGTAGGAAGCACATTTTTCACATCATGGCTTTCTAAAACAACACAACAAATGATCCCTCCACAGAACAAGATTAAAATCTTTAAGGCATCTCAGACATGCTCTCCAAATACAAAACTCTATTGTAAGCGGATTTGATTGTACATTTGTACATTGACACACGACTAAGACAGAGCTGACAGGAGTTCATTAATCTGAGAAATGGAAAAACAGTGAAGAGGCAATCCGGTGAGAAAGTCTATAAAGTGAACTCTAGAATATATTAAATCGCAAAGGAATGCACTTATGTGAGCGAACACTATAAATGTGGATAAGGCTTGTCAGCTGTACTTTGCTCTGGGCTCCACAAGCTGCTGCACATATCACAAACCAGGGCCATCATCAGCACTTTAAAAAAAACCTACCAAACCACCACCACACCTAAGTCTAACACCAAACAAACCAGAAAATACAATCCAGCACCACTACTTCCACCACCCTGGCACACTGGAAGATGGACATTTAATGCACTAAATTAAGTACTGTCATTAATACCTAATTTAATGTTTTTTTTAGGTTCAGGCCAGGGAAAATATGGTTTGAGAGCATGATGCTGATTTTTCTTTTATTCAGACCAGGGATAGTTCGCCAAAATAAGAGTTCCACCATCATTTTCTTTTTTTCCATCTTCAGAACATAAATGAATTATTTTAAAATTCTCAAATCATTATTGTCCATCCATTCAAAGTTAAAAATTGTAAAAGTAATTATGTTAAGCAATCCACCATGCTTACCTGATACACGAGAACAACCTTATTAGTGCTCTAGTTCGCTGATCAATGTTTATATATGAATAAAGCCTAAATTAAATGTTCAAAGTGATTGTGTTGTGTTTAATTCATATATATTACTTTTATGATGTCTTTTCACGCTTTTTGAAGAGTGAAAATGTGGTAACATGCATTATTGTGGATGGACAAAAACAATAAGAGAATATTTAAAATATGTCCATTTGTGTTCCAAAGATGAACAGAAGACTAACAGGTTTGAAACAACATTAGTGATGAACTACACTTTTGAAGCCGTTTGATCATAAACAGTTGGAGCAGTCTAAGTAATGACAGCAATAGAAACATGAAAATAAGTTTGTCATCATGATGACTTCTGATCGTTGAGTAACCAGAGTGTGAAGAGCAAGCAAGTTGTAGATTATTGACCGACTGAGTGACAGAGGATTTAATAGAGGCGGTACATACAGCAACGCTATTTAATTCATTACACATACAGTACACACTAGAGTAGTGGAGTTCTCCATTAAATATAATGTAATGTATATTATATATATATATATATATATAGAAGTTAGATATACTAGAAGTTAAAGAATTATATATATAATTCTTTAACTTCTAGTTTAGACATTTCTATTCTTCTATAATCCCATAACATTATAATTGATTTGATTCCCACAAACATTACCATAGCAACAGTTGTTTCCCAAACACCACATGTAATACTGAAAAACAAATCTAGTCATGTGATGACCTTAAAACTGTGTAATATGTAAAACTGACACAAAGTAACCAGAGTTGTATTGTCTCAACAACTGTAGTAACGATGGCATTATGACAGAAACCATGCATTTATCTAGGCTTGTGACAAAACGTCAAGCAGCATATAAGGATTCATCTAAAAATGTAAAATCTGGCATAATTTAATCATCCTCATGTACATGTCACTTTTCTGTGAAACATAAGAGTAGCCTAGATATTTTGAGAATTGTTTCAGTGTTTGTTCCACAGAAGAAATAACCTACAGATGTTTAAATGATGACAGAAGTTTCTTTTTTTGGGTGAACTCTCTCTTCAAGTCTTAAGCTGACTTTGAGAGAGTTTGTAAAAATGTATTTACTCGTGAAGTATTCAGGAACTTGAGGACAGTCAAGGGAGCAGCTGAGCTGACAAGACAGCGCAGGTCATTTAAATGGAAGGGTTGTAAGGATACTCTAGACATGCCAAATATGGAGAAGAAAGGGCTCGGATGTCAAACCACTGGTAAACCTGCGAGAACCTGACAGTTATTTTTGTAAATGAACGGCCACAGGTCCAACATCGAGCTGTTATAACCTTTTAAATCAGGTCATGACATGTTTAACGTGTACTGAACACCCCTTAGTTTAGTGTCAAACGCGTAGGCCAGCTCCTGAATCCGAGCAAACAAACGGGCCCTGCATCGAGGAGGTTATCCCACTACACCCACACATATAAAGTTCATGTCTGCACTCACCCCACGATGCCGTCCGTGTAGTTTCTGCTCTTCCACGGTGTGCCCGTGTAGCTGTCCTGCGCCCCATCCGTCAGCAGCAGACTCTTGTTAAAGCCAAAGGTGCTCGCCTTGTTGTCTCTCTTCCTTTTGCTTGGCAACTCCGTTCCCACTCCTGCGACCCCACTGCCACACACTTGCCCCCCTCCGCCGAAACCCCTGCCCTCCCTACTGCTGCTGTTATTATTGTTATTGGTTTCCAGCGGGATAAAGTCTCGTTGTTGGGACACCTCGCTGTCGGGTTTGGATCCAGACATCCCCTGATGATCCTTGGTCTTTCCGCTGCTGTCCACCGCGTTGCTCGACGCCCCGTCCCCGCTGCTCGTCAGTTTGGCGCTAGCTGTGTTGCAGTTGTTGTTAAAGTAAAGGTTTCCCAGCGTCTGTGTCGTTTCCCAGATGTGCATCCACAGGTTGTTGGCGGGTCCGCGCTGTTCTGGCTGAAACCAGGCGATTCTAGGATCCATCAAACGCTGAGCTGCTGCAAGCACACTTGCCCCCGGAGCAGAGCCAGGCTCGATTCGCTTCACCCACTAGTTAACGGGAATACACTCGCCCTGGACAGCAACTAAAATATCAAGTGCGGGTCCATCAACGTCTCTATGAAAAGGAAAACACCAGTGTAAACGAACTGTAAAATAGGTTCTGTTTTTAAAAAAAAAAAAGACAACCGTCAAACTTCAGCACGAGGAATGGAAAAACGTGAGTGTCGTCTGTGTCACTGCCTCTGACCCGTTTCTATCTGAGATCGTGTGTCTCTCAATGGCGGACAGACCAATTCGCGACTGCGCATGCTCAGCCAGGCGTGAGCGAGCGCGCAGCGGGGACGCGCCGACTCCGAGTGTTACGCAAGAGCGCACGTTACAATTCTGTTACGTAACAGCAGTAGCTTTGATACATTGTAGTAACACGAACCACTCACTTGTCATGTTTCAAACGTACCTCGTAGAGTGGCGGCGTGGCTCTGTCTAATCCATTGAGCCCTATAGTGCACGGGGTCTCACTGACATCTCTATAATTGGATTATTTTGAAATGCATTAACAGAAATTAGATTACTAGTTAGGAACAGAGTCCACAAATAGAATACAGTATTATTACTGTGGAATAGATCCGACCACTGTTTATAAAAAAAAAATACAATTGTCATAATTTCTGTTGTTCCAAATGTGACCTTTTGTTCTACAGTGAACGACAAAAGATGTTAGGCATAACATTATAAGACAGCCATATTCACGATTCACTTTCATTTCATCATTTTCAATAAAGTGAAAGGTGACTGAGACAATCATACAGTATCCTAATTTTTGAGAAATATTGTAGCTAATATATTCGGTTTTTACATCCACCTGAACTGCTACAATTTAAGTGTATGCAAAACTAATTAAATAAGCATGCTAATAGCAATATAAGTTATCAAAATAACCAAACATCTAAAACAATGTTTCTTTTCATGTATACAGGTTTATGAGGGATCTAATACAACCCATAAACATCTGATAATCTACTGTTGCTGTAGGCCATAAAACAATACATAAAAAGGGTTTTGTTGTTCTCGCATGATGACGGACTGGGTGAGAGGGGAAGCCGAGCAACATTGCAGTGTTAATAAAGTAACCCTAGGGCACTGATCCATTATCATTTACAGATGCTCTCGCTGTGGACAGGTCTTACCAGAAGCCAGAAAATAAACAAGGGGTTAAAGGGGCATCTGATATATAACAGGATGACATTGCTTCACTCACACTTTTCAGTTCACTTCAGTATAACTGCTGAGATTTGATGGTCAAGGGAGTGTACAATATAAGTAAAAAACACACAGACATCACAGATTAATACTTATTCTTCTTAATTGTCAACACAACAAGAAAAAATTATGATATGTGACTCTTTAATTAAAGCACTTATATGTTTGGTTTTACAAACATAATTTTGTATCTTAATTTCCTCACATAAACACTCTCTCATAAAAAGAAAACCATAGAGTACAGATAGAAAATGCTAAATAAAATTAGGCGAGCCGTTTACAGAGAATTTGTACTCCAGATCTCTGAAGCCTCATTTTCTCTGCAGGTTCTCCAAGTAGCCGATGAATCTCTTAAGGTTGATCCTTATGTTGTCCAGAACACAAAGCTGATCAGGGCTGTATTTTCCTCTGCCTTCTTTTCGCAGCTGTGAGGGAACAAAAGGCCAAACTTTGAAAAGCCTGCCATCTAAAGGCCTAAGAACATACTAGAATACAGAGATCCAGCAATGGCTATGTTGTGAATGGCCAGACTGTGAATGGATAAAAGCAGCTGGAAAAAAAAGTACTTTACAGTTTAAAAGTGGAACTTTTAAGATAAGCCAACCAAGGCAGATCCTTTCAGTTGGATTTCAGTGCTACTTTCTGTGGACAGTCTTATGACAGTGCTTATGCAAGCGATCTCAATCTCAGAGAACAGACAAAAACGTTCCTCTTGAACATTAAACTCGAGCCTGTATTTAGAGGTGTGAGATTTGTCTGATTTAATATCACAGCTCAAGTGTGCGAACATGAATGCATGTATTTGAGCTAATATTTCTTGTTGGCTTTAAACAAACCTTGGCCCTAAACCCTGGCTGAAGAGCTTTGAGCGATGAAAGCAGGTTAATATTTTTTCCAGCAGCCTCTGCTTCATCGCCATCAGCAAATACATCGAAGAGGGCGTCCAGCGCTTCCCCGCACACCACCAGGTTTGTGTCCTTTGTTGCAACATTCAGTAATGCATTTCCAATCAGCTGCAAAAAAAAAAGGTAAGGTTAGGTGTACAACTGACCAAAGATAACGCAGAATAAACTGCAAAAACCTAGGAAAGCAGGCATATTTGATCATACAATTCATTTGTAAATCAAAATATATTTATGTCCTAAGATACTGTAGAATGTGGTAAATGTAGTCATCAGTAATTTAGTAAAATGAGACTGCATTCCATATAATTTACTCCATTTCTAATAACAAAATAAATCATAATTAAACAAAACATAATAAAATCTTAATTAAAATATTAACCTAAAATAAGGTAATAATTTCTGAATGTTATATTTATTGTGGGCACAAAGAAAAAACAATATAAACAAGACTAATGTTATTCTAATAATTCTACCACAATCAGTTTTACCCGTAGAGTGTCTTCTGTGTTTTTCTCTTTGGCAAGAGAACTTCCTGTGATACCAAGAATGGCCAGAGCGTTAACTCTCACACTGACCAGCTCACAGCTGGTAGCAGCCTCACAAAAACTCATTAGCTGGTGTGGAGTCATACACTGCAGGATACAGCACATAAAACAAACACAGTTACACACAAATATAGGGTAAAGCTTGAAATGATGTTTCACTAAAGCATAAAAATGATGAATGTTTTGACCTGAGGGATGTTTTTGGTAGCCATGATCTGTAGAAGAGACCGAAGAGCACTGGTCACAGCCTCCAGAAACTCCTCATCCTTTAATACCTCTGGAATGGAAGAAATCATGATTCAACAATCACAAAAATTTTGGTCAATACTGAAATCACAATTATTTTATACCATTACTTAAAGGGGACATATCATGAACATCTGACTTTTTCCGTGTTGAAGTGCTATAATCGGGTCCCTGCCTGGAGCATCTACATCTACCAACTAGGGGAGCACGATATTGACAAACAGGTGATATTGCGATATCGATAATGAATATTGCGATATCGATATTAATTTTGATATTTTTAAACGTATGGGAAAAAGCATCAAAAAAGATGAATAAATAAAACAAGTTCTTATGCCATAAGGTTTATTTCAGATCCCTCAAACCACTTCAGGAGGTCAGGGCCGCATTCCAGACCAAACTGGACAAGTGACAATGCATCTCTTTACTCCTCTCAAAAATGCTAAAAATGAGAATGTGTTACAGGCTTGGCCTACATGTCATGTCGTGTTATGGCCAGATATGACAACACGCACAACTGCTTTGCAGTGCGTGGCTAGAGTTTTGACACCGATTCAAAGGGCTCGGTCTAATTCTTTCTTTTTCGCTTGTTTATCATATTTTTTTTCCTAAAGGAAAAAAAGTATGCTTAATTTATAAGAAAATTTTGAAAGGGGGGGGGGGGGGTGATTGCGATTTCACTTTTTTTGTTGCTGATGGTGCATGAACAGTATCTGCAAAGTTGCAGCGCTGAAAGTTCAGTGTAAGCAGAGATATTGTCTTTTAAAAATCAGGAAGTATAATTGCCTACAAAAACGACTCGATTGGGACTACAGCTGGGTTTTAGACGTCACTAACCCACACATTTGCATCAACCCTCCCTCCGGAATATGCAGAAAAGGGCATTCGCATATTTCTGCGGCACGTCGACTGTGTTGTGTTCACCCAGCTGTCAGGTCTTCTGTCTTCAGGCTTCCCACGGACGCTGTACTTAGTCAACAATGGATACAATTTATGTTTGATTATGTTCCTGAAAATGACGATCGTAATCTAGCTCTCTTGTGCTGCCCATTTTACGGAGGACAGCTTCCAGAATCTCCACGAATACAACACCGGATTCAACAAGAAACTGTTACTAAAACATGAAGCAGTTCCAACTTTAAAACCAGAGGCAGCAGTTGTTGGGCCATAACCTGCAAGTAGGCTAAGACTTAATCATTTTAAATGTATTTTATTTGCATGTATAATTCCAGACGTAGCCTTGTGTTTTATTTTTTTCAAATGCCAGCGCTGGCTTTATAGCCACTAGGCTACTAGTTATGCTATTTTGTGTCTACGACAAACGCGTACAAACATGAATTTTGTATTAGTACTAACGTTGTAAATGTATTTTCATGTATATATGCTTTATGACTTTATTTTCGATTTGATCAAGAACGTAAAATTGCCAACACTGTTTGTGTTTAACATTAGTAGCCAGTCAGTTGCTATTGTTGCCAGTCAGATGCTATTGTGTACAACAAATGTGTATAAAGTTAAAAAATGTAGCAAATTATCATTCAGAAGCGTCTAAATATATATTTACCATTTCATTTGAGAAAAACTATCATCATATCATATCATATATCATACACCAACAGAAACTCAAAGGTCTTTACGGCAACCCGTCAAAATAAAAGTTTGGTTTAAGAGCCGTGTGTGGTGAGGTGCTGTTTGACCCTCTTCATTGCGGCTTTCTCGGTCTGATTGTGCCTCAAACTGATACTGCAGTTCGACGCCATTATTTACATCTGGACCGGAGCTCATGACAGGCACGTTTCGCACGTAAAGGTAATGGGCGTTAACCTTCCGGACAACGTGAGCGACAGTTTAGCCAATCACAACGTACCAGCCAAAAAAAACAATCTGAGCCCCACTGCCTGTTTCTGAGGGAGTGGTTTTAAAGACTCAGGAAGTCAACCGCTCATTCGAGGACAGAGGAGAGTGCGGCTGACAAAAAAGGTGAAGTTTATGAAAAATAAGACTTTTTAAAAAAGAAAAAACACAAATACATGTTATATTGCACCCCATAAACACAATCATGCAAAGAAAAAAAGCAGTCAACTCCCCCTTGAAGAATCAATGCAAAAAGGAATGTGGCACAAATAAGCCTTATAACTTATTTTAGATTATCCAAATTTGTAATTGAAAATAAAATTTGATTAATCTCCCAGCAATTAATCACCTGCTGAGCTGAAGACCAATGTGGAGAGGTGCAGAGCCACTGCCTGTAGCCCTGAAGCACCACCAAGAGACTCTGTATCCATAGAGGAAAGGATATTATGGAGACACGTCAGTGCCCGACACTGCACCAGGTGCATCCTAGAAGGAACAAAGCTTGAGAGAATAAGATTATGGTTCGCACTGCTTTGCATGATACTAAAACCATCATGCATATGTTTTTTTTACTTTTTCAAGAGGCATTTCCAGGAAGGATGTTTGCTACAGAGCTCAAGGACCTCAGCACTGGGGAACTCTGCCTTCTTTAAGACCTGAAAACAATCGGACAGTTAAGTGAATACAGTACACACAGCTAGTGTTGTCAAAATGTTTGGTACTTCGGTACCAAGTCGGTACTAAAAAATGTTAAACGTCACCCTACCAAGTCCCGATGGGACCGAATACCCGGTCAAATCCGGTTCTGGATGCGCATGCATGCACAAAGGTCGTGAAGTTGCATTCTCTTCATGAAAGCGCTGAGACATGGCGACCGGTGGCGCTGCTGAAGTGGTTTCTGTGTATATTAAACTATTTAAATATGAACCCTGCATGTTGTGCTTGTCTCTGTGTGAATGAACGGCGCAGACGCACAGTTTCATTTAACGTGACCTCTCTCTCACACACACTGGCGCATGAGTGACGCTCGCGCTGTTTTCAGTCTCTGCTGCCTCACGATATGATGACATGATTCATGATTCCATTCATCTCCGAGTCACTTCATGAGCATTTTAACGTTTCATTTGAGAAAAACTATCATCATATCATACATCATACACGCACGAAAACTCAAAGGTCTTTGCGGCAACCCGTCAAAATAAAAGTTTGGTTTAACTTAAAGAAATTGACAGAAATAATTATATTAGGCTACTGTACAATAGATTTAACTACGTCTCCATTAATTAAAAATATTACTGTAAATCCACTGAATGCTGAATGTATTTTTTACTTGATTTTTTTTCTCAGTATCATCAATATTTTTGTTTAAACAGCATGTAGCCTTCAATGCTTTCATAAATTTACCATCATAAATAATAAAGTGATTGAATTGAATTTAATATATATATTTTTTTCAAGTAGTTAAAAATAAAATAAAAAAACTGATTTGTACCGAAATTGGTACCAAGAACCGTGACATTTTAAAGGTCTCTGTACTGACTACTGGAATTTTGGTACCGTGACATCCCTAACCAGAGTTACAAAAAAAAGACCATGTCACTGTTTGTTTTGCAGACTATATAATAATATAATAATTACCTGTTGAGGTATGCTGTGGTTGAGCAGGATTGTGTGAAGTTCAGCAGACAGACAGAGAGGGGAGAACAGGCTGGAATTAGTGTCTGCCATCCCATCAGCACACATCTCACTCTCATCACTGCTGGACATCTCCTCCCACTCATCATCTGAGGGCTCTACAAACACACACACACACACACACACAGCAAGAGAGAGTCAATACTACATCACATTATCCTCTGTCTCATCTTCTTTGATACAACTACAGAAATTATTCCTCTAATCCTGTGCAGGGTTTAGAATATTCATGTCTTCCCCCAAGCACCTGCTCGCCTATAAATAACACAATCTCACCATCGGAGCAGCACATGTTGACGATGATTTCCAGGGATGTCTGCTGTGCTGACATCAGTGCTTTGGCCTCTCGCAACTCCAGTCTGTCTCTCTTAAAACCACAACATACACACACAACAAAACCACAAAAGTAATTGTTGGGGTCGTCTGTACACATATCCTGATGGTTAAACTGATTTAAGATAGTTTAACTGATTACTAATAATTGCCTTGATGAAGCTGAAATAGAAAATTAAAGAATTAAGGCCATTCATGGCAACATGGAAAGAACAGATTGACTAAACATGCTTTGCTTTGGTTCCAGATGAAAAATAGGCCACAAATGAGGATCTGGATCAAATCTCACCATGACCTTTCAAACAGGACAATGTTCAGGACACCCTATGGGCAGGTTACACTTGCCAACGGGAGTACAGAGAGGTTACTGTAGCCCAGCACACTCATATATAAATGAGGACAGTCACTCTGTGTTTAGAGAGAGCGAGACCATTTTGCTCTGAGGGACAGATATGCCATCACTTGCGTTTACATGGCTTGAAGAGGAAAGGGAGAGTACAGAAGGTATTCCTGCCCTCACGATGACCTTATTTGAGTCATGTGACACATTCAGCCAGTCAATAAGACATAGTCCTCCTGTTGAGGAATATAGTGAAGAAGCGCATGTGACCTCCATGCGCACTCTAACCTATCATAATTTTTCTTAGAAAATTCGCCCCAAAAAAATTAAATCTGTATCTAACCTTATCCTTTTTTTCTTCTTTTTTTTAACAACAAGACAGAGCAGATTCAAACTTACAGGCAACAGATCTGAAATGTCACTTTTTGTTTTTGACATTTGTCCCTTGGGCTTTCTTCCATTTATCTTCTCATCTCTCCCATCCTCCTCCATCTCTTCGGGTTTGTGCCCTTCAGACCGTTCATCCGTATGATCTGACTCTGTGGCAGATGTTGCCTCTTTAGACAGACGGGCAGATTCAGCATGCCACAGCTCTGGGATGAGCACTCCAGCGTCCAACATGAGACAGTGTGAGAGAGTGGCGGCCAGTGCCGTCAGTGTCTGAGACTGCTGAGCAGAAGACAGGCTGCTTTTTAGATTCCATAAAGAACCTGAAGAACAGATGAAAGACAAACAACTTTTAACCATACAAAACTAGCTTTATAAAAATTTGCTTTATTTCAACTATACATTAAGTCTCCACTATCCATGCAGAAAGCAGTATTTCAGTCTTAAATTTCCTCACCAATTATTAGCACTATATAGCACTAATATAACGCTTTGGAAGACAAGGATCAATTAGTTAATATTAGTTAATGCGCATTAGGTATAATTAACTAATAATAATGACAATAATGTCATCTGAACTAGTAAGAAACATCCACTTTTGTTCTGGTTCTGACATTGCAGTTAATCGTGCTGATTAAATCTAACAAATTATACTACATCAGCATTTAGTGACTGCATTTATAAAACGGTTAGTTCGAATCCTTGATTCTGATTGGTCAAGAGCTGTGCTTTATTCATGATAAAACACGGCTATAACCTCTTCACCCAACGGTTCTATTGATCGCTGCGCAACACTGCGGTTCTATGTTGTTTTTATTTGAGCTTTTATGCATTTTACACATTGGAACGTTGTTGTTGTTCACGGTCAGGGACTATTTTTTCTAGCGGAAGGAAGGCTTTTAGTGATTTTACTTCAAGAAATTTGCACTAATATATTGTTTTTTACTTTAATATTGTGTGGCAACCGTTTTATAAAAGCAATAAGGTACTCGAGGCAAGTGCTGTATCGTGAATAAGTAACAGCTGAAGGGCGTGCAACCCCTCTCGCACAGCCTCTCGTACCTTATTGCTTACTTAAAGCCCTTCAGATATTTATCCTTGTTTCGCATGTGTCCGGTTGCAGTCTATTTTATCCTGTAGCCACCCCGAAGTCTTTTACATTTTAGAACGGGTGAATCTCCAGCACTGGTGACTGTCGTTTGAACATTTCTGGATCTGCCATCAAATTGATAAGTTTAATTATATCAAGTGCTGTGAGAAAAGGCTATAAATCTCCAACATCCTCACTCGCAACATAGCTTATACTAGCCGAGACTCTTCTTTATGTGGACAGATGTGACATAATGATGCAAAGACATGCTCGAATCCACCAGTACCACTGGAATTAAAAACATGATTACAAGCTTACTGCTTTGAATCGAGCTAAGGCAAGCAGATAGTTTTGAACACTGGCTGGTTATGTATTTTCTCAATTTTATTTGGATAATTGTTAACGCAAAAAAGCTATGGACTGCAGCTTTAATGGAGAATAATTATGCAATGGGGGAATATTTGTGGGTCTTGATAATGACAGATGTCTTATGTTACCAGTAAAAAGTGGCCTACATTATTTTAAATATATCTAGTCAGCTTTCATTTTCATTTTAATTCAAAATACATGAGCGAATAATGTTAATTTATAACATTACATTACATAACGCACACGACCCCCCAAAAAGTTGCTGTATTTAAATAGGTGAGTATTTAAGTGTAAAGGCCATTGCACACTGAGTCCGAAATTCGCATCCAAAATTTTTCGCATGTAAAAAGAAAAAAAATTCGACCTCACGTTAGTCCATCACACTTGCACACCGCCTCCGAAACTTTCGCCCGTCATTAAAAAATAAATAAATAAAAAAATCGGATCGGGTTCGTTTTTCTGCGTTTTCCGCATTCACAGCCAGCATTTTGAGAGTTTTTTGACAATTCAGTGCCGGGGGGAGCTCGATCCACACATCATTGCACATGCGCAGTCCTTTCAGTTTTGGTTTTCAAATCGATCAAGTGTTTATATGTTCTCTCGATCGGATTAGAAAAGGAATAAACCTCCCTTTTCAATCAGATTGAAATTTTGGATCGATAAAGGTGTGATTGAGCAGCCAATTCTATAACTAATGTATTATTTGGGTACAATATATAACCTGTAGCCTATACAGCTGTCTGCCCAAAGCTTCCGCCAGGCTGCGCGTGTGTCCCCATACCTTAGACATACTGCCAGTCTTTGTTCAGGATCGTTTGGTTCACGGAAATTAGTGGTCTTCTTTTTTAGAATTTTATTTTTACGATGAGGTTATAATAATCTGCTATTTCTTATTTCTAAGCGTCACTAAGAAGAGTAAAACAAAAGCTGTCAGCCAACATAGGTTAAGAGCAAATATTTCCAATGTTTAGGGGTGGGACGATTATTATATAACCGTAAGACAGATGGCTATAGTTGAACACTGTCATTAAAACTCTATAACCGCCAAAACAGTGTTATTAAAATATCTAGCAGATAAGGTTACATAGGCTACTAATAGTGTTGTCACGGTACCAAAATTTCAGTATTCGGTACCAATACCAGTAAAAATTCACGGTTCTCGGTACCAATTTCGGTACCAAAGCTTAGTTTAAATTTACATATATTTAAGTGTTTATCACGGTTACAAGTATGGAAACTGTACATTTGTATTACAAACACTTTAGAAAAAAATTAGATAAAATGACCTAAAATAAACAATAGTACACACTAACACATTTTTAAAGTTGTTTGTAAAGTTCTAATCCGTTAACATTTATTTAATGCACAATGAATGAAGTGAACAAACATGAACAATCAAGTGTTTCTATTAAATAACATTTACAAACATTAATTAATGTTGTAAAAATATGTTGTTCACTCAATGTGTTGATGTGAAGTAGCTAATGTTGATAAATGGTATCTTATTGTAGCATTACCAAACTATAGGCTACAGGAGAAAAAACATGTTTTATTTGATTTGACTGTACTTTTATTTAATCTAAAACTGCATTCATATTTAATTTTGAAAAGGCTTTTTAAACCTGCTGAGTTATAAAGGCAAGAATACGCCTAGATCTGGCACTGACATTAAATGACATAAATAGGGATGCGTCGATACTAATACCAGTACTCTGGTGTCGGGTGGATACTACTGTGCTCATGTATTAGTAAAACTACCCCGAAACCACTTTAGAGGCCGTTCACATATCGCACGTGTTTTTTTTATTATATTTTTGCGCGTGCTTATTCTTTCCAAAGCGCTTGCTCTCACGCGGCGTCTGTCGTTGCTATGCAACGAGTTTTTATTATGAGCGCGCTTGCCTCGCGCCTATATTTCAAATTGCGAATTTGCATGTAATCGGCCTCTTATATTTCTCTTATACCTCTTATATAAAATATTTCCATATGTGGCTCTTTCCTCCTTTCGTGTCAACAAGTGGATTCAGAGAGAGAGAGACATATCAGCGTTATGAAGAGGACGCAACTGTGCACCTTTCAGACAGCGCGTCTAGAACTGGATTAACCTGGTATTCGGTACCTAGAAAAGCTGGTACCGTAACATTTTTTTTTTTTAGTACCGACTTGGTACCGAAGTACCGAGTTTTTTGACAACACTAGCTACTAATATCAGTGTTGGGGGGGGGGGGGGGGGGGTAACGGAATACATGTAACGTTACTGTTGTTATGTATTCAGAATACAAATTATGAGTAGCCTAACTGTAGTCTCTACAGAACATGAAATATTTATTTTATTTTATTTTTCGCATTCATGAGCTCTGATAAAATAAGCTCTGATAAGCATTAAAACTTTTCACAGAGAGATCAAACAGAAAGCAGAAAACCTTTCTTTAAAATGAATTTCATTTTGTATTAATTGTATCTTAATTTTAATCAATGTTTCATCAAACAATTGCCTGGATTTAATAAATAAGAAGTAAATATAGCAGACGACAATCACGAAACAGAGGTGCCGGCGCGTGAACTGGAGCTCGTCTCATAAAAGAACCGAAACTCAGCATATAAGGTAGCCCCCTCCTTCTCCTTCCCTGACGACGGTTATGTTAAGAACGGTCACATTTGACTCACTTCATAAACTTCATTACCAATTCTGAAACCGGCACACCGCTAATATTGTTGTTATCATAAGTATCAATTAAAAATAAAGAGCCTAATACTATAGTATTTTGTTAAAATAAAAATCGATTCTAAAAATACAAATTCTTTTCTTTGTGGCAAATATTAAACCAGAGGCTAAAGCCTGTGAACAAGCTATGTTGGCTTGAAAAGCCTGAACCTTGATCTCGAACAGCCTGAAGCACAGTTGCAGCTTGTGTTGTAGCCTGCTCACAAGGCTATTGACTTATCACTCTTAATACTCCCTTGCAAAGCCTACTAATTCATGAAGCCTATTAGAAAACTACGCAATCACTCTTAATACTCCCATGCAAATGTGTAGCCTAATAGTTCATATTTCTATATTTTATATATATATATATATATATATATATATATATATGATTAGAAGGAGATTATGATATATAATACTTAAGCTTATTAAGATTTTAAAGTGCACTCCATGAAAAAGTAAAGACAATTTTTACATATCCTGCTATGTCTGAATTCATAAAAAGCAAACACTTACATTGGCTTCAGATTACTACATTTGGTTATGTGAATGTGATTTTTTAAAATCTTATTGATAGTATTTTTTGCTAAATCTCCACATGGCGCGAAAACGAGCTGTGATAAATCCACTCCATATTAAAGGTGGGGTATGTGATTTTCTTTTTTGACCATTTCTTTTCAAAAATCACTTGAAATCCTAACCCACTTCCAGCCACTAAGTTAGAAGCACTGAAATGAAAATTAAGAAATGTAATCATCTGTGGAATGGGCAGGACTCGAAAAACTCCAGCCAATCATTTCCAAGACCATCTAGAATGATTGGACTGAAAGTGCGTCAATCAAACAGACGTACCATGCCCCTTGCGCACTTGTCCCCTTAGTGCACATACTCAAAGCTTGTGACCCAGTCACAGTAAGTGCAAGTCACCCCGGTACAGAGAGATAGAGAGTAAGTGCAATCTTGCGCATCTGAGTTTTGGAGAAAAAATTATTGCATGTCCATGTTCTGCGTTGGAGGAAAGAAGGTAGGGCCTTTTGAATCGTATATTTTCAAAATCTGCCGGCCGTTTTGCAAATCCCATACCCTACCTTTAACAGACATAATCTAACATTTATAACATCTATGATTATTGCACCACTTAGTGGTCAAGAGCAGAAATACTTTTCCTGCTGCAAAAAAAGCATTCTGGTTGAGTACCGATCTGTACGTTGTAAAAAAGATTGAATGTAGTAAATAATTAGTAAAAATATTTATTACACGTCCAGTATTGTGTTGTTTTACCTGCAGCCAGTGTGCGCAGGAGAGTGTATTCCATACTGGTGTGTGTGGTGGACAGAATGTTGTCCAAGATGCCAAATACCCCTGAATTCACATTGCACACCAGTTCTGAGTTATCTTCTGTTACTGTGTGCAAGCAGTGAGCTACACAGGGGGAAAAACAACCACAATTACTCCTAATAGTTCCAATTAAAGGAGTGTGAGAATGAAATGTAACAATCTGAGGGGAAGCAAAAACAATACTATTTTTAATTATTACAACTTGAAATATATATATATATATTTTACATTTTAACAGCCTTTTTTTAAAACAAATCTTTTATATCATTATAAATGTCTTTACTGTCACTTTTGATCAATTTAAGGCATCCTTGTTGAATAAACATATTAAAAAAAAGAAACTTTTGAAGAGTTTTATATACACATACCTGCTGATATTGCCAACTCCATATTCTGAGGGTGCCTCTTTAGACAGTGTAGAAGAATATCTAGAAGTCCAGACTTGTTGAACACTGACACTGCTGTGCTACTGCTCTCACTACACAACCACAAAGAAAACAGACAGAAGCACACAGATCATACAAGACTGCAACCCTGTCAACTTTTTGAACATATTTTGAACAGAACAGCACAACTCTTCATGCATTGTTTTAATTAAAATACAAGCTAAGTAAATGCTCTAAATGCCATCACTTAATGTTTTGCTAAATTAAATTTTTTTTAAATATTATAACTAATCAATCTAGGCCCTGTTTACACCTAGTATTATGAAGGGTTTTGGTCGATCGGTTTACAAGTGGACGGCGGTAAATACAGATGTAAACAGGGTCTAAAACATTTTGAGCATATCCAATTTCAACCACTTCCAGAGGTAATTGAAAACGAATGCATTCGAACAGCCACCAAAGATGGCCTATTCTTCAACTGACCTAACGCATAAACATTATGTGAAGAGCGCTAGCAACTGGTCTCTGTACGTTTTTCCGTCGTCTCCGGTCACGTTCATGTGCAAATCGTGCAAGCAAATTTATTGTCTATTAGATCGAAAAAAAAAAAAAAAAATTTAAACGCACAAAGAACCTCCCCTCAAAGAAATCAAGACAGAAGCGGTTGAAAGTGGACAAAAGAGACACCAGGAATAACCGGGAATGTGTCTCCCTTGTCTATGTGTCTACCAGATGTAGGGTTGGGAACCGAGAACCGGTTCTTTTCCAGAACCGGTTGTGTTTTTGAAAAAATACCGGAACCGTGCAAAATTCCTAAGTTTCGGTTCCGAAAACGGTTCTGATGCCGATGCGATATCATCATGTGGGCGAAGTGCTGGGAGTAGAAGACGCCGTCTTATTCCTAAATGACAAAAACTTCACCACTGAAGTTGCGATTTGCTCTCACACGCGCTGCATTTGTCACACACAGACACATGCACGCTGCGCGCGCCTGTTTGCGCTGAGAGAGAAAGAGAGAGCAGTTGTCGATATGAAACTGCTTTACAATCACACAGTCTCAATATTTATTTGTTTCACATATTCAAATGATTTCCGTTACAGAATTAGTGAGATTATAGTTTGAGTAAACATTGACGGTAGTGGTCAAAACAGATGCAGTCCGTATATTTTTTGTGTTCAGAATTTACAAAATATATACAATGAGCGAGTGCATCATAATGGTTTTTTTTTTTCAAACCGTGTTTTTGTCTTATCTTTAATCACTACGTAAAGCCTGTAATAAGCGTTAATACTCGGACTTCTTTAGACTGGGCGGCGGATCGCAGCTGCTGCGGAGTAGCCCAATGCCTGCGTGACTCGTCATAGACATAAACAGAGAGAAGTAGCTCCGGCAACAATGTTCTTCCGCAAGACGCATGCAGTTCTGTTTATTAACTGCTAGAGCGCCGATTTATCCAGTAATGAAATAAGTAAAGTCTTTATGAATCAATCATTCAAACCGTTTAAAAAAAAATCTGTTCTACACACATGTGTGTTAAAGCATATACTATTCCTTGTGAGAGGGTATTCTTCACTGTTGGAGATACAATAAAGGAGAGGTCTAAATTATTATAGAGAATGCAGAATTTTTTAATTTCCTTTATATATATTTTTTTTTTTTTTTGCAAAGATTGCTTAATAATATTTTGAGTTTGTTTACATTACCAGTCTGTTACACTAATTTGTCATGTACTATAAGAAATAAACACAAAAAGGATTGTGGATTTTTCTCTTACTAATATTTTTAATTGAATGGGAACCGGAACCGGAACCGGAATCGTTTGGCGGAACCGGAATCGGAACCGGAAAATTTCTCACGATTCCCAACCCTAACCAGATGTAAACAGTGCCCTAGGGACAATATAAAGATGTTGATGCACTGTCAAGTGGTCACAAAAAAACACTCAAGGGCATTTCTAAGACATTTGTTAATACTCTTGTTAGGTATAAACGGCAATCTGTCATGATCACAAAAAGAGTTAGTTTAAGCTCAGTCTTACCAGAGGTTCCAAAGTAAATTTACTGCCTCATTGGTGACGTCTTCCACCGTGTGTTTCTGTCCTTTCATAACAGGAGAAGTCGTCACGTCAAAGCCAGCACAGCACTGTTCTCCACAAACACACAAACAGTCTCATGAATAAATGTCTCCTCACAAGGGGTGGGCGGTGTAAATATTTTAAAATCAGGCAGGATAATCACCCACGATCTTCTCAGTTCTTTTTTATGTTGGTTTAAGACTATTTTGGAAGTCATTGGCCAGTACAGTACACCTAACTCATTTATCGTTTAAAGGTACACTACGTAACTTTTTTTGTTTTTAATATTAACTACATTTTTATTTAATGTCAACATATCATCAATCCTTCCATACCCGGCGCTATGGGCGGGCCTTAGGGGGCCGGGCCCGCCTACCGAGCGCCTGTGCCCCCCTCTCCATGCAATTTGCATTTAATAAATTTTAAAAAGAAATTTATTTTAAAAATAATGTACTGAATAACTCATGCGGAGATTCCACTCCCAAAAACGTCGACTTCAGCTGTATTAAGAACATGAATGGGCCAGTTATTTTTATTACTCTTCTTAAGTTGCACCAGCCCTGCTAATTCATAAAACAGATATGTAGCATAACATTACGATATCCTTTAATCGATTTAAATAGTTATTGATTTAGGTTTATGTGGTCGTTCAATTACGCCTTTATATTTGTATTGAACGTGAATGTAATAAATAATGGTCCAGGGGTAGAACTTTTGCCAAGCGTGCCAGAGGTTCTGGGTTCTAATCCGTTCTAATAACATTTTTTTTCATCAAAACTGATTACGTTTATCAGTGGTTGTATATCAGGCAGAGACAAAACATCTTCAGAACATTTTGTGTTTTAATTTCACCGTAATGAATAGAGTCTCTCCACAACGGATTGCGCGTCCGAGTGAAGACTGTGCGCAAGCCAGAAAAAAAAACACATTAGCCTATCCGCGCCAGCGGCAACGAGCATTTGAACAGTTGATTTAAAAAACACATTTCAGCGCTAGATCGTCTCTTATTTAAAAAACGAACGAAACGAATGCTCTGCTAGTTAACTGAAGATGTTTTGTTTATTTGTATTGGTACATTCGTGCCGGGATATGTTTCAAAAGTGGTGGGTACAATATCGACGGGACATATGGGGACATATCCCACCCGCAAATTACACCTGGTACTTGAAATCGGCGTAATAGTTGGTTTTTGTCCTATAGAACAATTTATTGGATGTCATAATTAGGCCCCCCCTACAATATTAAATGCCTGTCCATTGGTTTGTTTCTGCAGCCGGCTCTGAATCCTTCTTCCAAAATGTGTTTTGCCTTACCCTCATTCACGATGCCTATTATAAGCGTTTATATTTTAGACCTGTCATGATGGTTTTTGTAGGAATTTGCAAGCAATTTTAGACCTTTTAATTTCCTTTTAATTTTAGATCAAACAATTTTAATTTTAGACACTACTGATATAAAATTAAGTATAAATTCACTTGTGAATTTATCCAGGACTCATACCTCCCTCAGGAGAGCAGACAGAGATGTCAGCACATCCTGTCTCACCATGTCCTCACATACTCCAGGGCCTCCACAGGCACTAAGATTCCTGTAAAACAGAGGGTAATTTTTACAGAATAATCCCCAAAGCAGAGGAGTTTTGTATCAAAGAGCTGTGTAAAAGTGATAAAGCATATCATTCACTAAGATGTTCATTAGAAAAACTATTCATATATTTTATATAAACGATTACCGCAATTTACTAGAAAGTTTCCTTTATTTTTCAGTGCATTTGTTTTTACAAAATATGGCTATTACTGTCATGGGAATAATATTATAACTATTATTATGTAGTAGTGTGATGTAGACAGACACTGTAACTAAAAGAGGTTTGAATTTTTCTTTGTTTATTTTGCTCACTGAATATGGGTTGGAGCTTTTAATTTACAGCTTATAGCTTGTTTTAGGATTCATCACTGTGGAGTATAGTTCGATTGTATTAATAAATGACAATTTTGTACTTGTTTAATCTGTTAAATCTCACTCGTTCCTTCTCGTTCATTAGTGGTTATAAATGTGGATAACACATCATCAGGGTCACTGAGCGCGGCTCGACAACAGAACCGAAGACAATACAATGCTGAATAAAGTCGTAGGTTTTGTTATTTTTGAACCAAAATGTATTTTTGATGCTTCAAAACATTCTTACACTGATGTCACATGGACTACTTTGATGATGTCTTTATTTCATTTCTGGACAAGGACAGAATACCGTACTTATATTTTCAATGGAGGAACAGAGAGTTCTCAGACTAAATCTAAAATATCTTAAACTGTGTTCCAATGATGAACGGTGGTCTTACGGGCTTGGAACAACATGAGGGCGAGTCATTAATTACATAATTTTCATTATTGGGTGAACTAGCCTAACCCATTAAGGCATAGAAACATATTCAAGGGCGTGAAAAGATGGGTGGTGTTTATAATCATATGCAGTGTGGTCCAGTCTGGGCAAAAATGCCAGGGTCGATTTTTTTTGTCTGAGTCCAGCCCTGACCACAATTATGCAAATAAGACCACTAACGTGGGTTTCAGGAAAGTACAGTATGAAACGTCCGCTTATGAAAACTCAGGATTAAATTGTTTACCCCAGAAAATTATTAGCAATGTGAAATGTGAAGCAAGATAACCCAGGATTCAGAATGAAACATAATTAATATTTCACGTGTAAAAAGCACTTATGCGTTTTTCACTGTACGCTTGTGAAAATGTGTAGTTCCGTTCCATGGCGGCTGAATAGTACTACAGCTCAAAAGTAGATTGCCAGTCTCACCTGAGCAATAGACTAGAGATTGTGTGCGTGTGTGTGTACCTGAGAGCACCAGCAGCAGTCTCTCTGACCAACAGGCTGCGATCCATCAGTAAAGGTCCGATTTTCCTGACAGCATCTCTCTGGAGGAATCCTGGGATCGCCTGACTCTGCTGTACAACACGAGAGATACTGGCACAGGCGTACTCCCGCACATCTGCTGATGGACTCTGTAACTGTATGTTACACACATACAGAGAGAGAGAGTTACAAGAGAGAATTATAAGTTCAAAGATATATTTGAACACTTCACTTGCTTGACAGACAGCTGAAACAGTTAGTTCAGCCGTAAAGAAGGCTGACACGATTTATCTATTCAATGAACATTCCATCAGAAAAACAGCTGACACTGTCATTAACGTTACACACTCACAACGTTACACACTTTTTTTTCAGTGTTTTGGGGTATTTGGATTCCAAGACCTAATTTACTACAACTCTGTAGAGTTGTCACAGTACTGAAAGCTTACTTTATCGAGTAGCTCGGCTGCCGGAGAGTCTTCATCTTCTGATTCTTCAACAACCTGTTTAACGGGAGTCGCTGCAAGACCATCAGGAGAAAACGGTGGTCGTTTGAATTTGGTGTTCTTAGTCTTCCCCATGCTTTTAATGTGTTTGGAATACACTTGAAGTGTAAAATCAATTTCAAACTGTTTTAAACTTGGGCAAGCTCACAGCCATAGACAGTAAAACCCCACAACACGAGCGACCATGTGGACATTAGAAGCTGCCGTAAAGCGCAGGAGATAGTCGTAAAGTAACGTGTCGTCGAAAAGACTTGGCGCGCCACCCTGTGGGTCAAAAACACACTGCAGTTGAAAGCGGGTCTGAAAGAAATCTTATTACTTGGCAAGGGAGATATTGGATGTCAAATAGTCAGCATCCAGTCATCTGTTTTCTCTATCTGAAGTTCCACCACGGAATAATACATAAATCAATAAAACCAAGTGCATTTGATCTTCTTACAGATAAACTCCTCCAGGAGAGCCCATGTCTAATCTTTAACAGTTAGTAAATATTAGACTACCATATGGTTTTTGAGAGATGTCTGTACTCTACCTCTGCATCTTCTCTCTCTGGAACCTGGGAATCTGAGTAGGAGGCGGGGGGTGGGGGGTAATATATTACCTTCTATATCTTCATTCATTCAGGTTGACATTATTATTAATATTATATTATTATTAGTATTATTGGTATTATTAAATAATACAGTATGTAAAATTATTACAATTTAAAACGACTGTTTCCAATTTTAATATGTTCTCAAATCTAGGCTAATTTAATCTTGTGATGGCAAAATTGAATCAGCAGTCTTCAGTGTCACATGATCATTCAGAAATCATCAATATGCTGATTTGCTGCTCAAGAAACATTTCTTAATATGTTGAAAACGTTGTGCTGCTTATTTTTGAGGAAACTGTAATACAGTTTCCGCAGGAATCTTTAATGAATAAAAAGTTGACATTTTAATTCATTTTAATTCCTCTTCTTTCTTTCTTTCTTTCTTTCTTTCTTTCTTTCTTTCTTTCTTTCTTTCTTTCTTTCTTTCTTTCTTTCTTTCTTTCTTTCTTTCTTTCTTAAAATTTAAGAGTTAGTTTTGGCAAAAGCACAGGTTTGACCTCTCCTAACCCGTGCAGTGTGTCGAATGAGAGCTAGAGACCCTGGGTCTTCCTTTCCAAATCCCATAGGCCTTCTGCAAGTCAGCACGTGGCAAACCTCCCCAAAAACTGTCCTGAGAGGACCCATAATTCATTGCAAATCAGCATGTTTCAAAATCGAAATCAGAGAGGATTTCAACATTATGGGTCTGAAACACTTAATGAAAAAATAAAAAAAAAACGTCATTGCACACACATTTCTCCTTGTCTTTGTTCTCAATATATTGAATGAACTGAATAATTTGAGTGTGTAAAGGTTGATTTCTGACCCAGCAGGTTTCCTCTAGCACAGCGTCAGCTGTCCTTGTATCATTTCACTGATAACGGCTCCCAATGATAACGACTGAGGAACTCATGAACTCATATATCTATCGTTCATACAGACCCTGCTTTATGTTCTAAAATGCAAGTCAAACTTTTTGCACAGTACAAACATTAAAGCACCATCAATGATCATACACACACACACACACACACACACACACACACACGTCTGGTTTAATATCTTTGTGAGGACTCTCCATAGACGTAGTGTTTTTAATATATATATATATATATATATATATATATATATATATATATATATATATATATATATATATTCTGTCCCCTCACACTAACCCTACCCTATACCCATCACATGAAACATTCTGCATTTTTATATTTTAAAAAAGAATAATTCGTCCCCTTGGAATTATAAGGTTCTATCTGACATTTTTGTCAAAATTTAGTTGTTCACATATTCTTATTCTGTGACAATTTATTTACATTATGTGATGTGTTTTGTACATTTAGGGTCCCTGTTATTTTTATGTTTGAAAGAAACTTGTTCCCCATACACATTTTCCTATATGGAATGCAAAAACTTTGAAGCTCAATATCTCAAAACTGTTCAGAACGCAGATAGAACCTTATAATTCCAAGGGGACTAATTCTGTATGATTTATAAGCATGTTTACCCATGGTGATCTCACTTTAGGTCCCCACAGTAAAACGAGTCCCCATGAGTCTGTGTGCATTGCAATTAGGTTTACGTCCCCACCAGGATAGAAAAACATGAACACACACACACACACACACACACACACGTCTTGACTTCACAAATCCCCCCTAAGTAGGCCTACACAAGGGTGAACACAAACTCACCACTAGATGGAAGTATTGTTCTATGTTACTACGCCAGCAACGTCCCAAATCTCTCCACAGCAATTTCACACTTTTTCAATGTTTGTGTGAATAAACAGTGCAGTATGATGACGAAATACATCTGTTTGGGGAAATATCCATCAGCGCCTGGGCCAGAGGAGAGCTGAACCGCACTGAGAGGCTGTCGGATGTAAGGTGTCATTTGTGAGGTGAATGATCTATGAGCTTTTCTTTTGAGTAAAGCAAATAGGCCAAACGTTCCTCCAAGTACCAAGCACGCTCAGTTATGCTTTACCATTGTTCACTCAGCTTTAAAACATTAGCCATTTCGACATGAAGTAAAACTCACACTTCAATGTAGATTTACATGATGTTACAGAATGTTCTAAGACGTATCTAATCTTCTTTAATTTCAGAATATCAATGCCTAGACATTATTACATTTTGCAGAGGTTTGTTTGTTGCGTGTTAGATGATATCTACAAGTCCCCACCATGTGAGTAACCCAAGCACAAGACAGCAGGAGATTATTTCTGCTTTTTGTAACGGATGTTCAGAATCCCACAGAGCAAAATTAAGAAAGGAATCCTGCAAAATAAATAAATAAATAAATAAATAAATAAAGCTCTTGACGTGTGATGTGATGTCTCGTCTACTAGTTCTGGTCCAGGAGTCCTTTCAACTGGTTTCAGACTTCTAAATGTAGTTCAATTAAAAATAAATAAATAAAACCAAAAAGAAAAAAAATAATTTTCTTTAGACCAAGTTTTGTTTTTTATTATTATTAATTATTTATTTATGTTTTATCTACATTTTTATTTATCCTCAAGGTTTCCGTTCTGAGGTTTTGGGCAAGAGAGAACTGAGAAGTCGTGGATTTTTATAAAGGACACAGCTGCGAGTTTGTACCTCATGACAAGCTCATCAGCTTTCTGCCTTATGAGACAATGACCTCTAGACTAGCCATCTTCACCCACATAAGCACTATAACAAAAGTCAGAAACACAGAATCGGCCCCATGTTGCCTTAAAACGCATACAAGAGAGAGAATGAGAGAAGCAGAAGGAAGGGTGGTGTTATGTAAAATGGGGAAAGACGGCTCTTTAGGTCAAAATAAATGGGTGATGATGATGTTTGTCGCTGATTTCAGGAAAACCACATAATGAAATTTAATTACAGTATATAGACATGATCTGCCCCCCGCAGCCCTCCTCCGCTGGGTGACACTGAGGAACAACATCCATGGAGGAACACTGACCATTTTCTTATTACAGACAAACTTATTCACTAAATGCATAAAAGAGAATCAGTATATTTTCCGTATATACGTATTTTTTATTTTCGTGGAATAAAGAGGAGAAAAGGAGGCCAATAGAGCAGATGAGGTATAATTGTTATGATTTTTCGTGTGATCTTGATCCATCAGCTGTTGCCCTGAAGGCTTCAATCTGACCTCTTAAGCAAAGCAACAAAACTCACACAATCCAGCTGCAGAAACAATGAGAGAAGAATAACTTCAGTACAGATCTTGACGTAGTGAGTAGGTCCAAATTCTTTTTTACCTCTCTTCACTCTGAATTGGGACCCCACTCTGAGGGAACTGTGATGTCATGCTAAAAATGTGGATCACTCATGCAACAACAACCTGATCAGACAGGTTTAACTCTTGGCTTACGGAAAATGACTGTATTGATTCATATGACTGGCTTTCCAGTCATATGAATCAATATTGAATTGTTAGTGCAATGAATTGTTAGTTCCCTCAATTCATTTGCTTTGACATAAAAAAACTGTTCTCAGTTATTCACATAAATTAAGTGCATAATACATCAAAATACCATAGTCGCATTACTGTTGTAGCAAAGAACAGTTTTCTTCAGGATGGCGTTGTCTCCTTGTCTAACAGTGAACATTTCGAATTCAGTGCAAGATTGAGGGGATTTCTGACTCTGGCCACATGATAGCAACACATTTAACTAGATTAGCATTAGCTGGGTTTTTCTTGGAAAGGCGATTTTAAAAGCCTAAAGTCCTAAATGTGCGAAAGTGTTGGCTGTAGCACTAAGGTCAAGACCTATACGTTATAGGCAGCTACTATACATCCAGAGTCATTTTACAAGTGGAGAGCATGATAAGCCCCCAAGGAATGGTATTATGTTTCATGGTGGATTTGTATGTGTAATTGTAGTATGTCTTAGCGTTTTGAAATCTGTAAAAAAAAAAAAAAAAAAAAAAAAAGCTTAAAAAAATTGACTCACTCTGAAGTCATTTAGAGGGTGAATAAACAATAATTAATGACATAAATGTGTACAAGAGCATGCAATGCAGTGTGTGTCTGTTTAAAAAAGAGAAAAGGAAGTTTGGTGGCTGTAGTAATTTTATGTTTGTATGCGTCACTGAAAAGCTTGAGAAAGTCATTGAATCAAGTGAACACGGAACTCCATTCCTGGTTTGCCAATACTGATATCTCTTCTGAGTGAAGTTCACACGTTGGCCAGTTAAAACTAGTTCAACTGATTTTATGCACCAATAGTTTTACATATTATACCTGAACATCCAAAACTTTAAACAGAAAGTTCTCAACATCTTCACTACTGTGCCCACACTATTACAAATTCAAAGCACAGCTCATTAGTATTCACAGATATTCCAATATACATATTTACATTTACATATTTACATATATACATATTTTCTTATAGTATCAGATACTTGGTTTTGCATGTTTGGATATTACTGGATAGCTGGAATTTACAATATGGACTAAAATGGGCATTTTTATGAGTTTATACTGCATCTAAAATCTGACAATGTGAAGGGTACAGTATAAATTATGTATCAGAGTGTGCGTCAATGCCACAGCAAAAGACTTTGCTAGACCTTGCAACCCAGAGACCTTCTGATCTCTTCCCGGGTGCCCAGTGAGTGGGGGGTTAAGAG